GTTAACTCAATCACTGTGCTTGCATCTTGAATTCTCGTTTCTGAGACACAGCACACATCAATACCAAGCGAGTCCACTGTAAGTGCAAGAGCAGCTTGTTGTCCTGCTTGCTTCAGAGTGCGAACATTGAACGCGGCCAGATAGAGTGGGTGTCGAGGCTTGAGGACTGATCTGGAGATCCCTGAAGATGTCGGCACCATGTGACGAGCAGATGCTGCACGCAAAACCGATGCATGACGAACGGAGTCATCAGTCCTAAGTGCTGGGCCTACAAGGAGAGAGTTATTAATGGGGTGGGGAGAGGGGGAAGAAGAAGTATGTGAAGGAGAAAGAAGGAAGGCGTCAGCAGCAGCCTGTTTTCGCTTACCCGCCCTGCTGTATGCAGCAAGTAAGGCGACCCGGCTGATGGCATCACGCGACGGCCGATGTGGCATGAGTTTATTTGTGTATGTGCTATTCATGGTTGTACGTGGGCCGGGATACTGCCAGGGCGCCCACACCTAGACAGGAGAACGATTAGAGTCCTCAACCAAAGCCTTTGACTCAGAAGCCTAACCGCAAGGCAGCGGTGTTTGGCTGGAAATGCAAATGCATTACCATTTCTACGGAACAAGTCGCCACATGTTCCAACCCCCAACCTGGGGGGCCAGGAGACTGTGTTCGTCAGACCTCTAACCATTGACCAACCTGGTATGAGAGACTGTGAGTGTCGCGGGACACTCTCCAGTATAGCTCATTGGATCGCTGAGGTGCGCAAACCGTCACATCACGGTAAGGTCCAATCTCTTCGTGACGGCCTTATGGGTGCATTCGAAACCATCGGTGTGTAAGTGCTGTTTACCACATTTGCTCATCTGGTTATGCCCCAGAAGTTTGTGAACGTATAAAGGATAGCTCATCAAGTAGATATTCTTAACACCCTTCCGGTGCCTAGCTGCCATGTCACCCAAAGGAAGCACGAGGACTTGGATACTGCCAGGATGCCCAAGTCTAGACAGGAGAAGTGGAGATGCAGAGGTCGGGTTTGAACCACGAACCTTCCGTTCAGTAAATTTCCGCTCCGACCACTGTGAATATAATCTGGCCACTATATTCACATATTTTTGGGCATGTGAGCGTGAATGGTGAGTTCCGGGGATTGGATCTTTGTGACCCCTTCTGCACGTGTCTGGAGACATTACAAGAAATGGTGGTTGGTCGATGTCGGTGACGTTTGTGCTGTTAGTTTCTCTGCTAATTGTCTGTTTGAGCGTTTGGGGATATAGGCAAGTCGGAGTGCCTGATATGGGCCAGCGTCAGGTTCCCTCCCTCATCCACTCTTTTTAAATATAATTAATCTTCATGATTTTATGGTAGTAAAGTACCAGTGTCAAGCTTGATGTTGCTGTCTCATGATGATGATGACGTCCTGGAGCACTTGTGGGCGCGACCTACTTACCGAAGGACTGTTAACCTTGGTGAGCTTTCCAAGTAACGCTTGCTCTTCCTGCTGTTTTTCAAAGATAGGAACATTGTTTGCATTCTACAGGTCGGAGAATTCTGATCACTGGAGCTTCCAGCTTTCGCATGGTCGTTGCACCAATAACCGAATTAAACTAAAATCGATTGATCATTCTTGTCATTGCTAACATGCGGACGCATGTGAAGTATCAGTTGGTGCCTCTGGTGATGGTGAGCATCGCTTGATTGGGAGCGCCTGCAACACGCACGGTTGCAACTCTAAAATTGCAAGTGGATTGACTATGAAACGCTTTTGGAATTACTTGCACCATTCCTTGACAATCGTCTCCTCCGAGAGGACCAGAAACTCGCCTATACTTGTTTGAACGAGGTTAGGCCAATAGATTGTCTCCATCGATATACGGCGGAACGTGGTAAGATTCTCAAAATTAGGGCGCGCGCGTTTATTGGTCAACAGTTTTTCTCATTTCTGGCAGCTGTTGTGCGGAATCACCTTCGGACAGCTTACCACACTGCATCTAGAACTCTGTTCAACTCATTTTTATGAGAGCTCTCGAGGGGGCAATTTTTATCGCCCAGCGCTGCGAACATAAAGATCGATGTCCTTTCGCTTGTGCCATGCAGGTGAACGCAAGTCTTTGAAGTACAAGAACAAACTCGATTGGAGAAGCTTGGGACAAGGCCTCGATGCTGTATGTCAATACGTGAAGTCTGTGACATCCCGGGATCTTCATTTTCTGTTATGCAATTCATGAATAACGGATCGATACACGCGTTTATCTTAGCTCTCCGGGTCGGGTTTGTTCCCGTCGTTCGGTAGCTTCGGCCGACATGGAAGGCATAAGCTTACTGCCCATGAGTTTGTTTTGTGCCTTAGTTCATGAACACCCTCCGTAAAGAGCAAGTTGGAAGCTGTTCGTAGCTCTTTCTTGCCAGGATCAGGTATGTTGAGGGCAGTATATATGCCTGCCTGATGTTCTCTCTGGGCCTCAGTTATCCAGTATTGGGCCGCTCTTGTGTCTCTAAAGAGCACCCCAAAAAGAAGACCGTTGGATTGTTTCTTCGGCGGTGTCTCATGTATTAAAATGGTGGGTTTTCCCGGCAAGTTTGTATAGCGGTGGGCTTTCGAGAGTTCAGTTGGTGAATATCTGATTTACAGCGATCCCGCCTCTTAAGAAATACCGTCCTCTGAGTTTTGTATACACTTATAATTGTCTTCTAAAGGAATATTCTGCACCTCATTTCCATAATCCTGCTGGTTAATTTTTGGCTCATTCGGCGGCGAACCGGTTCATTTTCGGTAAACATCGCATCAGCTTCGTGAATTTTGTGGACAATGGTTCTGGAAAGTCTCTTACAATGAGGCTGCTCCCAGTTCAAGTTGAACACAAGCATTCCCTTCTGTGGTTCGAACCCGACCTCTGCCTCTCGACTTCCCCTGTCTAGGCTTGGGCAACCTGTCATGCTTCCTTCGGGCATGGCAGCTAGGCGCCGGAAGGGTGTTACGGCGAAAGAAGCATTCCATAGAAATCGGCGCGTTTGAGATACAGGGTTCCTTGCTCAATGGCAGATGAATTCAAAAGTCAATACACAGTAGTCACTATGTCCCAATGGAGCCTTGGTTACCATGTGATCTTCGTTTGTAAATACCGCATCCAGTGGGGATGATAGTCTGATGGGCGTGTTAAGTGCTGCGTCCAAGCGCCTCGTTATGCCACTTCATTCAGCGCCGATGCAAAATGTACAGTGGACCAGGCGTGCTGAAATTTTATCCAGAAGGACCTGGGAGCGTCAGTCATCTACCAGCAAAAGATACCTAAAGCTGGAGGAGAGTTGCTCCAAAGTTTATAGGAGGAACAAGTCATTTTCCGGTGGACTTAAGGGTTGGATGTAAACGACAGAGGAGAAGAGTTTCAGGTCGCATGGTGAGATTGGAATTCACAGTGCATCATGAAGGGGTGCAAGAATGGTGTCAGTGAGGGAAATCAGAGAAGATGAAGTTGTGTTTTAAATGGTAAGTGACGCTCTACTGGTATCAGATGTATTTGGCGCTGTTATGGAAGTCGTTCATCGCAGGCGGACTGATAACTATAAGAATGCTTGTTGAAAGGACAGACAGTCCGCTGACAAGCATTTAACACTGTACTACTGTTTCCAAAGGTGGAAACAGGAGATACTGAGCCACCAGGGCCTTAGCCCAACACTGGCTTTGATCTCAGGGCTTGAAGGGATAGATTATTGTATTGCTGAGGCTTGTGAGGTTCTTGCCCTCCAGAACGGAGGTGACCCAGTTTTTATGCTCTTGGAGTGTGATCCGCAGATATACATTTGGTCTTCAGAAAGTCTTTTTGAATACGTGTGTAACGGTGATACTACTGATCGGGAGGCACGCGAGTAGTATGTGTTGTTCGTAGAATTTCGCTTTGCGTCGACTGGAAAAGGGAATTCTGTTGCGGAATTCGTGGGGCCACTTTGTAAGATTTGCTTGGATTTGACCGACGAATGAGTGGAGGCAACGAATCTCCAGGAAGACTCGTTCGGGAGAAGATCTGTGTCCAGTTTTTGTAACTAAGATGCAGATAAGAGTTTTGCTTCCCTGTTCAATGGTCTGTAACCGGTCAGTTGGTATTTCCGAATAAATAACTCCGCAGCGAAGGCCTCCTTCCTTTCACGTGTAGCGAGATGGCTCAATGTTTGTAGCCCGAACTTACTGACCGAAAGGCTCACGGTTGAAACCCGACCTCTGCATTTCGACTTTTGTCTAGACTTGAGCAGCTTGGCAGTATCCCAGTCCTCGTGTTTCCTTCGGGTGGCATGGCAATTAGGTACCGAAAAAGGGTTCCTGAAGGAATACGTGTGGACCGTCGCGGGGGATTCCTGTATGGCAGTTGGAGAGGAAAATAGCAGCGTGCGGGAGGTTCGTTTACTTCACTTTCCTCGTAGCGGTCGTGCGTGAATAGATTCGTATTCAGTCTTCATCAGAGGCAGTAACATCACTGGTGACTGTGACGCTATCGTACTGCATGGTGAATGGTTGTGATACTTTTTCCAGTTAAGCATACGGGCGGTTGACATTCAGTCAGACTTGTTCGTTCACTGTATTTGAGGCTTAATTCTCCTAGCTTCTTGCTTTCGTACACTTTTACAAGGCTGGTCGTATATTCGAATAGTGCGTTGACCATAAGGAAGCTCCAAACCATTTTACGCAGCGATTCCATTCAGCGTTATTACTGTCTAGTGGCCTATGTTGCTTTTGCTCCTAAAATTATATCATTTCAGCTGATGTAGGACTTTATGGATTGCGCCTCGACCTTATCCAAAGGTGAAGTCAGTACAAGTCTCAGAGAGGTAGCCAAACGCTCGCGGAAAAATTTCCCCGTCCCAAGGTATATATGTACCCCTACATCAGACCAATTACAACAGAGGTAACTGTTTCACTTTCGACTATCCATACCACTTTACAGAGTCCCCGTTCTTTTTTCTTCTAACCCTGTGTTTATTCCATTGATAAAGTAGGTTTCCTGTCAGCTGTTTTATCGAATTTGTTAGTGCCACAAAGGTCCATGGCCACATTCCTGAACTGGACAATCCTCCATCACCGAAGGCGATGCGTCATTCGTTTATGCGTGCAAATGAGGGTGTGGCTGTTCCCAAACTATCGTCGCTACGACGACTAGAGTCGAGGAAGCTTCGTAGCGAATGGCTCTATGATTCAGAACATCGTGCCTTCTGGTAAGTCGGTTGTTAAATTCACGTCATGCCGATAGAGTGACCTGTGCGCGGATGATTGTTCCACTGGTATCCAAATGGTATTACTGACATTCATAGAGCACTAGAGGGCTGGAGAAGCTGATTTCCATCAGCGTTATATGATTTACAGGCGAAGGAAAAACCTTGATCAGAGTTCCTCCGTAAAATGGTAGAAACATGACGAGAACATGTGGTAACCATAAACCCGTTATTTCATTTTTTCAAGTAGAAATTTCAAAGATAGGCTGTGGGATTTGTCGAATCTATATTCATTAGTCTGAGTGGCTCACATACGAACCCATTTCGGAATATTTCAATTAGACATGACTCTACAAAAACCCCACAACCACCATTTCAATCACTTTCATGAGTGATACTCTAGTTTCCTCCTTAGCACTGGCCCTTCCTAGATTTTATCTCCGGTCGTCGGGTAAGCGTGATACTATTGTTCCTCCAGTGCTTGCTGCACACTCGAATTAATACGTCTGCATGGGTGAACATGTTTACGCTTGTTTATGTTCATATACACATTCTTGAAGCTGGTCAAAATCGTTGTTTCTAGGAACCTAACTTTGAAGCCACGGACTGCGGACGAGATGGCTCAAGTGGTTAGAGCGCTAATTTACTGGCCGGAAGGTTCGTGGTTCGAACCCGACCTCTGCCTCTCGACTTCCCCTATCTAGGCTTGGGTAATCTGGCAGTATACCAGCCCTCGTGCAACCTTCGGGTGGCATAGCAGCTAGGCACCGAAAGGGTGCTACAGCTGAACGATTGTGATTAATGTGAGCGGGCGTGCTTGTGCAGAAATCCTCGTACTGAGACCGTGTAGGTATCCTGGCTGTGCCGGTGGGTGGCACGTCTGTCGAGCCCTCTCTAGTCAGGTGGCACTTGAGAATTAGTGAACAGTTTCGCACCAGTCAGTAGTTGCTTCCCCTCTCAGAGCAGTACACATCCTGAGATTGTTCAAAATCGCTTGGTTTTTAGAAGTTTTCGTTCTTTAAAGCTGGCGTACAATTACGCAACCACTGTGGAAGAAGCATTGTGGGTATGTGTGAGGTGATTTCTTGGAGGTTATCACACTCAGTGCCGTAAACTGATAAGCTTTTGGTCACCGTTGAGATGAAAATCTAGGTTTTTACGATAATAGTCCTGTCCTAGCCACTCGATGACATTTGTGTTAGATTCAGATCTTCAGACAGGATAAACAACCCTCCACACTTGCCCAGCCACTTGTTTGGTTAGTATCTAGATGATAGACTGCTCTTTGCTCACCGCTTCTATCACGCAGCTTATGGATTGAGTGGCGACCTCTCTATACTTCGAAGCTCACGCTCTGCCTAAAACGACATCGTTCCTCGTGAAGAAAGTGTTGGGGCACGGTACCTCTAATCAAAACAATCTGACCTGGTGTTGATCTAGACGGTATTCCAAAGCAGCTTGGGTGCATGAAGTTAAATACGAATGACAGTTAGGAGTGTCCCTTAATATTTTCACCGGGACATTTTCATGGACGGGATTATTGCTGTCTCAACTGATTACGCTTTGTAGGTCCCCTTATCTAGGTTTGTACAACCTAACAGTATATCAGCCCCCAAGCTTTCCTCGGGTGGCATGGCATCTGTGCACCAAAGGTGTTACATCTGAACGACTATTATTGTCCCTACTGTGTAGTGCACCGGTGTGCTGTTTCATTGGATTTACTGGGTGCCGAAATCACCGTTTGTCCAGTCCCTCCACCTGAGCATTCAAGGCACATGCACGACGAAGCACCTTTTGATTCGGCTGGCCAGACTGTCCTCTTGTGGGCACCTCCCTCACGCAACATTCTATCTCACTAATTTTGGATCAGCCTATTTTTCTCTTCTCTTGGAAGAAGTACTCCCTGCAAATCCTGTCTCAAGTTGCTCGATCCCATAGTGATGGGTACGATTCTGATGCATTTTTTCTGGCAGTATGGGCGGCTAGGAACATCTTTAAGAAACAGGGGACCGGATCATCGAAAGCTGCTGTACTTGCTAAGAAGAATTGTCAGGGGTGGCTGTTTGAATGTTCACTGTACTCGGAAGCGTAAGCGATAACACATATAAGTGCAACCAACTTCTCACGGGTCACCCATTCGGTGACCTATTTTTAGCACATTGGTAGTGAGTGAACTTGGCCCGTTTCGCTTCGCCGGACTGCGTGGAACTCGTTGTCAGAAAAGTATGCCAGTATACGTTCTTTTGGAATGCGAATTCAGTTGTGGCGCTTGCGTGGGCGCGTGTAATTTGCAGCCGACTGCACCCGGCATGCTGCCACAATCTGGCCAGAATTCTTATTCCTACAAACTTGTCTGGGTCTGAAGAATACTCGATGAAGTAGATGCGAGGAGCGGGTATGAATGATGATGATTTTTGTCTTATCCGTTGATCCTGTTCCCACGCATGTTTGCCGTATCCCATCAGGTCGCACAGAACGTTTATTAAAAAAACGTGACAATCAGTACGGGTTTGGGCACTAACGTTCTCCTGGAAGGAACTTTTTACGTTTTGACTTGTTAGAATCCCTCGGCTCTAAGGGAGAATTTTCGACTTGTACCATATGCCTGTCACCTTACTTCATCTTCTCTTATGATGGTTCTTATTTGGCAGGTCTCACGTGATCTTCGGAGTTAACAAAGTCATGAGACTTTTGGAAACTTCAGAGGCCAAAATGGACGTCGATAAGACTTCGATTAACCCGAAGTTAGCATGTGTTCTTGTAGATGGTGGATGGGTGGCTTCTCCCCTCGGACACCATATCGCTCGCTTATGTTCGACCTTCGGTGTACGCCTAGTTTCAGTCAAACCATTGAAATCACTGGCTTCCATGTTTTCGACGCCATTCCGGACCATCAAAAAGGCATGTGCTTTCCATAACGTTCCTCTAACTTCTCTGTTTGTTATCTGCGATAGACTATTACTGCGACGCTGTGGGAAGTAGCTTCCTGAGACAACTTTACTTATGAATCACTGACCGTGGTTGCAAATCACCGAAAAATTGGGTCACGTTGGTCTCTGCATACCTTGTCACAAGCGAGATGTAAGGATTCCTATGTAATCCAGGGCAATTTGTGGACAGCTCTTGGAGTTATAGTGTTTTTCAATACAAAGCTAACCTTCCTGCTGGTCCGAAGAGGATTCGGGGTGACAATAAACACTATGTAACGTACTCTAGGCCTTTTTTTAGAAATGGAGATGGTGGCGTGCACTAGTTCCCGTCGTTAGTTCAATTACCTCCTTAACAGTTGAAGGCTGGAGTAATGAACTTCGCTTTCCACCATAGAGAATGTTTGACATTATATTTGAATATTAAGTGGTTAGTCCTTTCTCAACCTCACTATTTAACCGCATGTTACTGAAGCTTATCGATTGTGCATTACCTCTGCAGGCGATCGCCATCGGCATCTGTTTGTCCGCAAGCGCTCCTAACGAGCTCCAAGCTTGGTTCGCTAGCTTCTGTACGACTGTTCCTTTGTTGGACCAGCCAATCAGAAGAGTAAGGGACTCAGGCTCTGAAGCAGCTCCCTCCCACCTCAAAGGAGATGCAATGGTAGGTCCTGTGTTTACGGTTTGGAATTCTAGGGTTGTGTTTTGTACCCTTTAATCAATATCAGATCTGTTTATCAGACCTGATACTAGTGATTGCGAAGTGTCTCAACACCGAACCAGATCGAGCGTTCAGGGGTTCAATAATAACTGACCACCATCAATCGCTTCTTACTGAATAAACGAGCAACCGAATGAATGAGTGACATTTGTCACTGAGCTCCGAACTAATTGTTCTTGCCTCAGGTTTACTATCCAGGCCGAACAAAAACCAGTTAGTCAAAAGAACCGAGTTTGATGGCTCGTCCTAGGAAACTAAAACTGTTCTTCGCTTTCTTTCACGATAGTTCCTAATAGTCATCCTTAAACAATTTTATACGACTGCGCCCTTGTATGACGAATCTTATGGTAAACTGGGTGCATTGATACGTTTACGAATGGTATTAGCCACGGAGTGCTTTTTATAGTGAGCACCTTTGACAGGCCTTCATGTCCTAATGATAATCGAATCCACTCATATTCGTCCCATAACAAACAAACGAAAGATTATGGGGACCCAACGTGGCTTTTGCTGTTGAAGAGAGAGAACTGATTGCTGGTTTGTTCGCTGAGCTCAGTAATTTTGTTGTGTGTTTAATCACCAATGACATCATCATTACGTTGTTAGAGACCGGAGTCGTTTGGATCCGTCCTGCTGACCTAGCTCTGTATCCCTGCCCGTGGGTCGTCCCAAACACGTTTTTGGTACGTTAGGTTTTGTAAAGGGACCTGGCGCGATACGGTTACAACAATTGTTTGTATACCTTCTTGCATTGTTCGACTAAGCTGAGAGCAGCGAGACCCCGCACTACGAGCAATCGTGGTACAGGGCGGTCTGGGGGTAAAGTCGTACTGTCCTCTGCGACAGGAGTGTGAAGGCAGTAAGGTGTT